TTCTACTCTGTCCTCTACGGTGGTCTCAATGGCAGTGGGTTTTGTTTAGTACCATTTAGCCAGCCCTTAACAAGTCAGTGTTAGAAGACCCACAACCAGAATGCTTCTTAGAAGCGAGGATGGTGGACTCCAGCTAGCTCACTGTGGACACGTTATCAGGAAGGACCAATCGCTAAAAAAGGACATCATGGTTGGTAACATGGAGGGTCAGCAGCAGTGAGGGAAGCCCTCAGTGAGATGGGGTGACCCGACAGGCGCCATGATGGCGCAAGGACATCAGTGATGATAAGGGTGTGCAGGATGGCAGCCCTCCGTTCTGTTACAGATGAGGTTGCCTTGAGTCACACCAACACAATGGCAGCCAGCAGCAGCAGCACAGAGAGGCTGACTCACCTGCCCAAAGTCACACGGCAGCAGCAGACGGCACTCTAAGCACACCACATATGGGGTACATGCTATCACCATGTCCGTTTCTAAATAATGGAACTAAGGCACAGAGAGGCTGAGTCACTGGCCCAAAATTGCACAGCCCCTAAGCAGCAGGCTGGCCTTGGAACCCTGGCATGCTGTGCGACTGATCAGCTGCCATCTGTGGCGGTGGTGGACACACACAGCAGTGTCAGCTGGACGTGGCTGTGAGGTCACTACTTCAGCCCCTTACTGATCAGGAAGCAGAGGCCTGGAAAGGTCATAGGGCCAGGTGGTGCAGACTGACCCCACTTTCCAGCAACGTCCAGCCTCTTCTCACCTCACCCTGCTGCCTGCAGCGTCCTGTCAACACCTGTAGTGCTGGGCGGCCCATCTGCTCTGAAGACGGCTGAGATCAGCTTGAACAGTCCTAGGTGTCAGAGCCCTTCCCTGTGAGAAATGCATGCCTCCGGGTAGCAGTGACTTGCAGCAGCTTTATCTTACTCCTCCAGGACTGAAATGCCTGCCCAGGCAGCCTAGCCCTGGAGCTCTGGTTCCTGTTCCACCAGACCCTCGCCCACACGCTGCTTTGTGACACAGACCTGGGAGGTCACTGGCACAGGAGCACCAGCATGGGGGCTTCCTGATGCCCAGCAAACCCGCCTCCCACTGACCATTCTTGAAATGACACTGTTGAGACTCGTCATCATTCCCTGGATAATCTTTAAGTGGGACCTTCCAAGACAACCAGCATGCCTCTGGCACAATCCATGGGGCATGGGGCAAGGTGGCCAATGCCCCAGCTCTGTGTCTCCCCCAGCGGCTGGTACATGCCCCACAGGCCCTGGCCAGGTCGAGGTTCCAGTGTCAGGGATGTCCCTCTCCACACGCCATGCTCAGTGGAAGTCATGGTCATGGCAGGACTTTGGGATCTTGCTGCCATTTTCAGTTTCCTAGAAGTGGGCTCTGGTAGCATAGTGCCTAAGGCACTTGACTGCTAATCAGAAGGCTGGCGGTTCAAACCCACCAGCCACTCCTCGGAAGGAAGGTTGAGCAATCTACTTCCATAGTGATACCGCCTCAGAAACCCAAGGAGGGGTCGCTATGAGTCGGCACATAACATTAACAGTAACAACAGGCCATTCTTGTGTGAAGGGCCACTTGGGGTCTGTACATATGGGGAGGAAGGGAAGTGGCTTGGTTCTCTAGTGCTGCTATAAATACAGAAATACCACAAATGGGTGGCTCTAACAAACACGGATTTATTCTCTTATGGTTTAGGAGGCTGGAAGTCCAAATTCAAAGTGCCGGCTTTTGGGGCTGGTGAAAGGCCCTTGACCTTGGGCTTCAGCTCTGCCTCTTGTTCCGGGCCCATTGGAGCAGGAGGCTTCTAACTCAGCTGCTGGCTGCTGAGGCTGATGGACCTGAGGCTGGCAGGTAAAATGGCACAATCCTAAGATCAGCAGGCAACACAGCAGGCCGCTGAGATGAAGACTCGGCCAAACGCAGGATCCAGACGTGCCCCAAAGCTAGAGACTTGTCCCAGAGCTTCTCCTTAAATGTGGAAGCAGCCACACCACAAAGGCCACTCCCTTTCCACTGATCAAAGTCTCACAGACGATACCACGGAGGTGATTACAGTCTCATCATGGGGAAAAATTACATCCAGCTTCCCAGACACTCAGAACCACAGCTCAGCCAAGTTGCCACACAACCTTAACAACCACAGGAAGGGAAGTCAGGGCAGAAAGGGCCACTGACAGCCAGCCCAGTACAATGACAGCCAGCAGCCCCACTGAAGAGTGAGCATGATGCCAGGGTCACCCCAAGTGCAGGCTGCCCCCCAGCCCTTCCCGAAGAGTCCGTGGCTCAGTGCTGGCTCCACTTCTATGTTGGTACAGGCCAGGTAAGAATTTTGACAGCAACCTTAGCCCTTGAGCTCAGACGGGAAGAATGGGAGGGGGCCTGGAGGGGGAAAGAAGGGGATAGAGGAGGGTGAACCTAAGCAAGAAGAGAGGCTGGGAGAAGGGGGGACCACCAGAGAGGAGGGAGGGAGGGAGGAGTGTGCTGGGCAGAATTCTAAGATGGTCCCCCAGGTTCCTGCCCCCAGTGGATACGCCACACACAGCCATCCCTCACGAGTACAGGCAGGACTCGTGACTACAATGGGATGTCTGCCTGTGATTAAAACCAAAAAACATAACTGCCATGGAGTCGATTCCGACTCACAGCACCCCTAGAGGACAGCGCTCTGCTCCACAGGGTTCCCAAGGTGGAAATCTTTACAGAAGCAGACTGCCTCATCTTTCCCCTCGGAGTAGCTGGTGGGTCCTAACTGCCGCCCTTTTTGGTTCGCAGTTGAATACTTTAACCACTGCACCACTAGAGCGCCTCCCCTCTGATTAGGTTATATGACCATGGTGAAGGAAGATGGTAGATATAATTAAGACCACTGGTAGCACAGTGCCTAAGGCACTTGACTGCTAACCAGAAGGCTGGCGGTTCAAACCCACCAGCCACTCCTCGGAAGGAAGGTTGGGCAATCCTACTTCCGTAGTGATACTGCCTCGGAAACCCAAGGAGGGGTCGCTATGGGTCGGGACTGACTCGACGGCAAATAACAACAACAACAACAATCAATTGACTTTGGGTTCATCAAAAGATAGATTATACCAGGTGGGCCTGACCTAATATCAGGTAGGTAGGGTGTCTGTGTGTGTGTGTGTGTGTGTGTGTGTGTGTGTGTGTGGCAGTTCTAGACATCAAGAGATGCTCTTGCTGGCCTTGAAGACATGAGCTGCCATGTTGTGAGGGGGCTATGTGGCAAGGAACTGTGGGTGGCCCCTAGGAACTCTGGATGACCTCTAGCCCCCAGGTGACAGCTCACAGGAAAACGGGGACCTTGGTCCCATAGCCACGGAAGAATTGAATTCTTCCAACAACCACGTGGGCTTGAGGAGGCCCCCGAGCTCCTGAGAGTAGTGCAGCCTGGCCAACACCCGACTGCAGCCTCGTGGGACCCTGAGCGGGGGACCTGGGTAAGCCATCCTGGACTCCCGACCTGCTGAAACTGAGACATTAATTGTGTGTCGTCTTCAGCAGTTAAGTGTGTGGTGATTTGCTAGCAGCAAGAGGTAAGTAACACGAGGTGCTGAGTTCCGAAATGATTACTGCTGGCATCGGGTTAGTGCCTGTGGTCCCAGGCGGAGCCCCTGTACTTCCCCTGTTCCCTCCAGGCCTGCCTGGCTAGCCCCACCCTCCCTTGGTTTCTCTCTGGCCCGATTCCAGAAGAGCTCCCCTGCCTGAGCAGGAAGTACTTCTGCTGGTGGCTCTTCCTCAGGGGCCGACATGGCACACTGGTAGACTTCCAAACTGATGCCCAAGACCCCACTGCTCCTGGGGGGCCTGTCCTCTGTCCAGGAAACAGTTCCCGTCACAGCCTGCCTGCCCCTCCGAGCCTCACCATTCAGCCTAACACGTCTGTCCTGTCCAAGACAACAGCATCCAAGGACATGACACACCTTGATCTCAGGGACACGGGGCTGGAGTCACAAAGGGACCAAGGGAATGAACCCAGAGGGAGAATAAGCCCCTTAGGAGGACACAAGCAGGCCAGCCCCTGAGGGTTCAGCTGTGGTCAACCTTCAGCTGAGATGAGGCAGAGAGGGGCCTGTCACTCGGCATAGTGCACCACCTTTGCTCTTCTTCCCTTTCAAGCACCCACGTCTCTTAGATTCTGAGATGACTCATGACACAGGAAGTGGTGACAGTCATGCTGGCTTCTGAGAATCTGGTTAACAGAGAACCAACGGGTGCACGAGCCAACATTGCCATCGGTACAAAGTCTGTCTGCAAGCAACTCCAGGGCTCAACCCTCCACACTCAGCGGCAGACTCGCCCTTGACACCAGCCTGTGAGTAAATTTCTGTAAAACGTGGAAAATACCACCAACATGTTGTGTCCTAAAACACAGACAGTGCCAGAAACACCCAAAATCTGCCCAGAGCACAGGGGACTGGCCCAGCCACCACAATGACCATATGATGTCACCAAGGAAACTAACAAACAAGACACACAGCACAGCTTAGGGCTTACCAGGGCAGTGTGTGGACACGGCTGTGGCTCGGGGCTGGGATTCTCGGCCCCAACCAGTGCACCCCATGTGCACCCACCGCCCTTCGGTCGGGAGGCCTGTATGTGGCCGGGATGCTGAATGGCCTCAGTGGGCCTTCCAGACACAGAGAGACCAGGGAGAGAGGCCTGGCTGCCTACTTCTGAAAACCTTACGGATCCTGGTGGCCTGGTCTGCCACTGACTGCGGGGCTGGTGCACGGCTGGGTGGGAGTCCTGCGAGTGGGTACGCAGTTGCTGAGTCAGGGCTCCTGCAGGCCCAGCCCAGGTGCGCCCGTCGGGGCTGCACCGGAGCTCAGGGAGCCTCGGCCAGGGCTTCCTGCTGCAGCACCCGTACCTCTGCTTCCTGTCCTGCACAGACGACACTCCATCAAACGGAAAATCGCATGGTTGTGTCACAGCCGTGCCAGGCTGCTTCAGGGGCTTCCAGACGCTTACTTTCACTTCTGCTGCTTGCCTGGAAGGGGGACAGTTCACTGGCCCTCAGCACCCTCACCCTCACAGGACACTGCCTTACACAGTCCTAGGAGCCCACGGGGGAAGACGGCCCTGCCCACTTGGCAGGGGCGCTCTAGGGGGGTGAGGCTCTGGACCCCATATTCCCCGTCCCCTGCCCCATATCATCCCTGTTGGGGTCCAGATGAAACCCTGAAGATGAGATGAGGACATTGCTCTGAGATCTGCCCCCCAGTGACTTGGGTTGGGAAGACGCTGGGGTTTAAACAGCTGTAAGTTGGTAATTGTTAAGCCAGTGGTCCTTGATGGGTGACCCCCCTCCACACACTCGTTGGCTGCAGAATGCCAGGCCCGCCCCCAGACTTCCCAACGAGAACCTCTGGGGGCAGGACCAGGCCGACCCAGAAGGAAGGAAAGCTGTAGAGCGAAGGAACAAGGCCACGCCTGCTGCCGGGTGACGGCCAAACGCC